CCAGGCTGCAATGCTAAAGGTATCGATATTGATGTACCGTGCCGAGGGCTGTGCTGTGCCTGGGCGACCTGGACACGTGAAAACACGCGTTTCGCTCAAGACGTTGTCAGCACATCCTCATGCTAGACATCCGCTTGGGCAACCTGGACACGTGCAAACAAAGCGTCTCGCTCGAGACATCCTCAACAAATGCTCATGTTAGACATCCGCCTGGGCGACCTGGACACGTGAAAACAAGCCTCTGGTTCGAGACATCCTCAACAAATCCTCATGCTAGACATCTGTCTGGGCCACCTGGAGGCGTGAAACCAAGCGTCTCGCTCGAGGCATCCTCAAGACCAGGGCACGAATCCACTTGAGAGATCCTCAGAATTCAGGCCCCCAGGAGAGGACAATCTATAACACAAAACAAGCGTTTCGCTCGAGACATCCTCAACAAATTCTGAAAAACAAGCGTTTCGCTCGAGACATCCTCAAATCCCACCAGCCCTTTGGGCGTGAGTGGTTCAGCGAGCTCTCTCTGTCCTCAACCCCCCTTCTTCCCCTTCGGGGAGGGGTTTACCCCTCCCCCTACCCCCTCCCCCTGGGCCTGGAGGGGGTGTTCCGCGGGTCGCCGGGGGGGTCTTTTTCGACTCCTCGGAGGGCTAAAAAACGACACCCCTCACGAGGATTCTGGCCCCGACGGGGGGACGGAGATAAGGTACCCTCCTCTTCCTTGAAGCCAAAAACATTGATTTTACTACGGTTTTGGCTCCATTTGGCCCTTCTGAGGGGGCAGCGCTCATGCAAGCTCCCCCCTCCCGTCAAGGCAATATTATTGATTTTACTAAGGTTTTGGGCTCATTTTGCCCTTCCGAGGGAGCAGCGCTCATTAAAGCTCCCCTCTTCTTGGATCCATGCCCTCCAAGATGGCCCCCCGAAGCGCCCAGGAGGCACCAAGAGGCCCCAAGATGGCCCCAAGAGGCCCCCCGGAGGCCCCCAACCGGGCGCGCCGGGCGCGCCGGTCGCGCCGGTCGCGCCGGTCGTGCTGATCGTGCCGGTCGCGCCGGTCGCGCCGGTGCCGGTCGCGCCGGTCGAGCCGGTTGTGCCGGTCGCGCCGGTCGCGCCGGTCGCGCCGGGTGCGCCGGTCGCGCCGGTCGCGCCGGTCGCGCCGGTCGCCGGTGCCGGTCGCGCCGGTCGCGCCGGTCGCGCCGGTGCCGGTCGCGCCGGTTGCGCCGGTCGCGCCGGTCGCGCCGGTCGCAATCGCGCTGGTCGCGCCGGTGCCGGTCGTGCCGGTCGCGCCGGTCGCGCCGGTTGGTTCTAGTTCGGTCCCCTTTGCCTCTTGGGGCCGTCTTGGGGCCCTCTTGCGCCGTCTTGGGCGCCTCTTGGGCCGTCTGGGGGCCCTCTTGGGGGCCTCTTGGGAGCCTCTTGGGCCGTCTTGGGGCGGCCGTGGGGGCCTCTTGGGCCGTCGTCAACGCCGTGAAAACCGAAAAGCCGTAGATGCTAAAAATGCACGTTTTCCTAAAGGAAAATCAATGCTTTTGGCCCCTTGGGGCCCTCTTGGGACGCCCTTTGGGCGCCTCTTGGGGGCCTCTTGGGCGGTCTTGGGCTCTCTTGGAGCGCTCTTGGGCCGTCTTGGGGGGGAACCCGAAACACATGCAAAAACCCTAGGGAAAACCCGAAAACTGCCATTACCAACCCTGCGTCTCCACCTCGCCCCTCCCCTGGAACCCCTCCCTTAAAAGCTTCGCCCCACAATAGAACGTCATCACTCGTACCTCGCTCTTTCCGTTACCTGGGCCGGCACGGAAACGGAAAGAGCGCCTCAGGAACTTGCCCGAGATGGCTCGTGGCACCCTTCGCTCTTGGGAGCCTTGGTGTGTAGAGCATGTTACGTCGCCGCTCTCCGTTGGGAGCCCTGGTGTTCAGAGACTTTTGCGTTGCCGCTCGCTCTTGGGAGCCTTGGTGTGACGGGTTTCGTTCGTCACCGCGCTCTGGGGAGCCTTGGTGTGAAGAGCTTGTTACGTCACCGCTCGCTGATGGGAGCCATGGTGTTCTTGAGCGTCTCTTGGGCCTCGTCGGGGTCTGCTTGGAGCCCTTTGGGAGCCCTTCGGGAGCCCTTTTGGGGCAATTTTAGGAAGTCTTGGGGCCCTTTTGGGCCGTCTTGGAGGCCTTTGGCCGTCTTGGGGCCTCTTGGGGCCTCTTGGGGCCCTCTTGGGAGCCTCTTTGGGCCCTCTTGGGGCTCTCTTGGGGCCGTCTTGGGGCCCTCTTGGGCCGCCTTGGGGCTCTTTGGGCCGTGTTGTGCCCTCTGGGGCCATCTTGGATCGTTTTCGGGCCCTTTCGGGTGCCTCTTGGGCCGTCTTGGGGCGATCTTTGGAGCCTGCTTGGCCGTTGTGGACCGCTTTTGGCAAGGAGAAGCAAGAACCCAACATACCTGCAAAAACAATAGAACATCCATGTTTTTCGTCCCTGGGGGCCCTTTCGGGGGCCCTCTGGAAGGCCTCTGGAGCCGTCTTGAGGCTCTCTTGGACCGCCTGGAAGCCATCGAGGCTCTCTTTGGGCCGTCTTGGTGCCCTCTTGGGACGTCCAGGGGCCCTCTTGGGTCGTCTTGGGGCCCTCTTGGGCCGCGTCACTTCGAACAATACAAGGAAACAGACCATGGGAGCCGCCTGAGAGCCGCTTCACTCGAAAACATAATAGGAAAGCTGGCCATTACATCCGATCCCCGCGCGCCTCGCCCCTCCCCTGGATCCCTCCCTGAAGGGCTTCGCCCCACCAAATGACGCACATCACTCGTACCTCGCTCTTTCCGTCACCTGCTTGGCATAGGGGCGGAAAACTATATTTTTGTCTGTGAGGGCGCGAGGTCGCTTGCTAGTGTCTTGGAGCTCTGCTGGTGTGAAGGCTTTGGTGCGACATACGAAAAACCTAACAAAAAGCCGGGCGAAAACGAATGACTATTGCATTTCGGGGACTCCCTGGGGGTCCTTTTGGGGCTCTTTTTTTTTTTTTTTTTTTCCTCGTCGCAGCCTCTCTCTGACCTAGGCCGCTGGGAAAAATTAGCGGCGTCGTCGAATGCGGAGGCTTCGGACTGCCACGTCGATGTCTCTCAAAAACTTCCAGCCTGCGCTAGCCATGCCGTCCCAAGGGCCTGCACTGACCAGGTCGCGGATCAGGAGGCCTTCAGGCCCGCCCCCCCACCCCACACCCAGCCTGGCCCCCCTGTGTGCGCCGCCGAGTCTAAACCTACTGGGGCTATTGTTATCACTGCCTCTTAGGGCTGAAGTGGCCTGGCGGCAGTAAGCAAATTGATCATGCTGGGCTCTCTCCTCCGCTGTGCTGGACGCCGAAGTTGGGCGCGCCCCGACGCGCGAGCACACGCTGCATGCCAGCGGCGGCGCCTCCTGGGGGCGCATGCCCGCGGCCTTGAAGCGGCGTCGGGCAGCGCCGCGGTGGCCGCACACGAAGGAGGAGGAGGGAGGAGGGGGAGGAGGAGCGAGGAGGAGGAGGAGGAGGAGGAGGAGGAGGAGTGCGCTCGGCGCACCGACGGAGGCGGCGGTCCGCGGCGGCCCGCCGGGCGCCCGCCACTCCTGGGAGGCGCCGCGGCGGGCGCGCCCCCCGAGCTCCGCGGGCGGCCCCTGAGCTCCGTGGCGGCGCGGGCCCCGCCGCCGCCCCGAGGCGGCGAAGCCGGCGGGCAAGACCGCACAAAGGCCCTGCGGCATCGGCGCCTCGGGCAGCAGGGCGGCCGAGGCAGCCCGCGCGCCCCTGGAGGCGAGCCGCCAGGAAAAAAAGGGCACGCGCGGCATGCACTGTCGGAGCTCCTGGCGGATTTCTCTCGAGTCGGCGCCGGCACCCCGTTGCGGCGCCTTCGACGCCGCCGGTGGTGCGCTCCATGCCCCAGTGGGATGGATCCTGTAGCCGATCCAAGAAATCCTCGCGGACATCCGAGAGTCTGTGTTCACGCAGCTGCCCTTCCTCGAGGAGTGGCATGAGCCTCTCCAGTAAAGGGGCGAAAAGAACCAATTCCTCCTCGCGGACAGTGTGGCCAACCCCGAGATCCGTTGAAAACGCCTTCGAAAACCTCGAGCCTCGAAACTCCCCCTCCTCCCCCTCCCCTCAGCCACTCTCTCCTCGCGGTCCACCAGGCGTTCGTCGATCTCCGGGGGCGCCAGGGCGGGCGCGTCCCTCGACGCGTCCCTCGACGTGCCGCGGCACCCGCCGGCAAATGGAGTGCGCGGGAGGCCCACAGCTCGAGGCCTCAAGCAGTGCCATGCAGCGCAGCGGCAACTCGTGCGCCAGGAGCGCACAGGTGGCGGGAGCAGGGAGAAGCGCGGTGAGGAGCTCTGGAGTAGATCCATAGAACAATCAGCGGAACAATGTGGGTCGCCAGGCGATCGCCTTCAAGGGCCGAGACTCCAAAGTCGGCGCGGCCCTTGACGCGCTAGCAAACGCTGCATTACCAAGACAGGCACCTACTGGGGACCATACCTCCGGCCGATAGCGACGCCTGGCACCGCTGTATCTGCCAAGCAATGCAATCGAAACAAGAAGGATATTGGCCCCTGTCCTGCACCAGAACGCGGAAGAGATGGGATCGTGAAGTGGAGAAGTGGGAGGAGAGGTCCTGCTGAGGACGAGGACGAGAGCAGGGAGAAATATTAACATATCAGTCGCAAGTTGTGACAGTCCAGCGAGAGAACATATCCAACTGGGGCTGGTGAAGAGGCCACGGGAACAAGCCAGCGAAGGCCTCAGTCAGATCGGTGTGGCCGCCGAAATATGGACGGTGTCGTCTACGAGGTGGGCTCGACCCGCGTCGTCGACATGCCTTCCATCGGTGGCCCCCCGGGCGCGCCGCCGAGTCAAGACCTCCAGGGGCAATCGCAATCACCGCCTCTTGAGGCTGCAGTGACCTGACCGCAAAGTGAGCAACTCGAAATATCGGGCGGAGGGTAGGATCGTATGTTCTGCGTCAGGGCAAAGGTGGACATGGTGGGAGCAAGAAGTGGAGATGTGGGTGAAGGAAGGAGGAAGGAGGAGGAGAACGCGGGGACCTTCTCTTCAAAACGAAGACCCACCACCACAAGATGGATGGGACAAAACTATACGTGGCAACGCACTCGACTGCAGAACTGCATGTTGGAGGCCATCTCGAAAAGACACCCACGCAGCAACATGCTTGGACCCCCCTCCCTGGAGCGCGGAGTGCACCTGGGGCGGCGCCAAAGGCGCCGCCAGGGGTGTTCCAGCGTCGATCCACCACCCTTCCCATATCTCCTAGATCCATCTTAAAACAACGGCACGAGCAATAACTTGCCGCAATCCGCGCGGGAGTTCTTGGATCGGCGACATGAGTCACTGCGCCGCCAGAGAAGCCATGAAATGTGGCAGCGCGCGCGCAGCGATGACTTTCGTTAGCTCGGGCATCGCTCTGGGTCTCGCTGCTCCGTACCCTGGTGCCCTTAAATGCGGAACACAGGAGGAGGAGGAGGAGGAGGAGGAGGAGGAGGAGGAGGAGGAGGAGGAGGAGGAGGAGGGGGGGGGCTGGGGCGAAGTCCTCTCTTTGCGAGATGCTCGAACCGCTAAACCTGGGGGACCAGGCAAGAGGCGAGGAAGTCCCGACTCGCTCGGCGGTCGGGCCCCCTGCGGCTGCAGAGGCCGGTGGGGAAGTCCTGGGCGCGCCATCGATCGGCGTGCAAGCGCGGCCGCGCGGACCTCCGAAAGTGTTGAGTGTGGGCTGCTGCACGAAGGAGGCGAAGAGGCGGTCCACCAGGCGCTCGTCTGTCTCTGGAGAGGCCAAGGCGGGCGCGTCCCTTGACGTGCAAGCGCGCGCGCACTACCAGCGGGTGTGCCCGCGGCATGCCATACTTGAAAACCTAAAGGCGCTCGAGAGAAAACCTAAAGGCGCTTGAAAACCTAAAGGCGCTTGAAAACCGTCTTGGGGTTCTCCTGGGCCATCCCGGGACCCGCTTGGGCCGTCTTGGCGGGCTTGGGCCGTCTTGGGGATCTCTGGGGGCGCTCTTGGGCCCTCTTGGGGCTCTCTTGGGAACCTTGCGGGGCCCGCTCGGGCCCGTCTCGGGCCGTCTTGGAGCTCTCTTCGGCCTTTGGGCCGTTTCGGAGCGCTCTTTGGGGCCATGCAGGCCGCCCTGGGGCGGTCTTGGGAGCCTCTTGGACCGCCTTGGACATCGTGACGGCCAAAGAAGCGAATATGCAACAAATGCCAGTTGCCCTGTGGGAATGGGACGATTTTGCCTCTTGGGGGTCCCCTTGGGGGCCTCCTTCGGCGCCCTGGGGGCCTCTGGGGCTGCGTTGACGCCATCTGAAGCCCTCTTGGAGCGCTCTTGGGCCGTCCTTCGTCGGGCCCTCTGAGACCTCTCCGACGCTGTTTTGGGCGCTTTGGGGGGCTGTCTTGGGCCGTCTTGGGGGCCTCCTGGGCGCTCTTGGGCTTGGCTTGGGCCGTCATGGGCCGAACGAACATTGCAGAAAGTAGGGCGATTCGATCTGGGGCTCGGGCGGCTGCCTACCCCCCCCCCCCCCTCCACTGATATTTCTCCCGGCTGACGGATCGCGACGCTACGCGCGCTTTCCGTCATCTGGGCCTCGGGCTGCCATCTCCTCGCACTCCCACTAACTCATGTCTTCCGACTGACGGATCGCACGCGAAGAGCGTTTTCCGTCATCTGGGGCTCTGGCACGTTGGCGGCCAAGCCCCTCGCACCCCCCCTTTATGCCATTTCTTGCGACTGACGGATCGCACACGAAACGCAGTTTCCATCATAAACGGTGGCGTTTGGCGTGCTTGGGCCGTCTTGGGCTTCTCCTGGGCCGTCCCGGGACCCGCTTGGGCCGTCTTGGCGGGCTTGGGCCGTCTTGGGGATCTCTGGGGGCGCTCTTGGGCCCTCTTGGGGCTCTCTTGGGAACCTTGCGGGGCCCGCTCGGACCCGTCTCGGGCCGTCTTGGGGCTCTCTTCGGCATTTGGGCCGTCTCGGAGCGCTCTTTGGGGCCCTTCAGGCCGCCCTTAATCGCCTGCCCTGCGGAAAGACCGGGAAGCGCCGCCCCAAACAAGTTCGCCGATGAGATCCTGACAGAAACGAAATCATGGCCTCCCAGACGGCCACGATGGCCGAAGATGGCCTCAATGACGGTCCCGAAACGCTTCCAAGACGGCCAAGGTGGCCCCAAGACAGCCCAAGATGCCTCCAGACTGCCAAAGTCAGTAATGCCAAGAGGGGTTTTCAATCATTTGAGCGTTCTCGTTCCTTTGCGTTCCCGACGATCCAAGACGACCCCGTAGGCCCCCAATATCGCCCCAAGACGGCCCAAGAGGTCCCCAATAGGCCCTCACAAGAGGCCCCCAAGAGGCCCCCAAGACTCTTCGAAAGGGCCCCGAGACGGCCCAGGATGCTCCTAAGACGGCCCAAGATGGCCCCATCGACCTCCCAAATAGCCCAATTACTCAGACGGAAGGACTCCACATGACCATCTGTTTAGATTGCCCTTATCCGCTTCCTCCTGGCCATGGCAAACGCCCTCCTCTCGCCCCCCCCCTATGGCCTTTTTCCTTTTTCCATTCCCCCCCCCCCCCCCCCTCCTTCAACTCCTCCTCCTCCTTCTCCACCCCCTCCTCCTCGTCGCCCTCCCCCTACCCCTTCCCCCCTCCTCGTCTTCCTCCTGCCGCTTCTCAACGTGCGCCTCCCCTCCCCCCTGGTCGGGGCAAGCAAGTCGATGTTCCTCGGCGCCGTCGCCGCCTCGGCCAGCGCGCGCGCGCGTTCGCCGACGGCTGGGTCGCGAAGCCTTTGGGGCGACCCCGCGGGCCAAGCCTTTGGGGCAATCCCGCGGGCCGCCGTGGCGCGAGGGCAGGCCGTCGGAGCAACCCCGCGGGCCAGACCGTTGGGGCAACCCCGCGGGCCTCAAGCTGCGCGCCGCGGCGCTCAGGCGGGAGGCAGCGCGAAGCCAAGCTCCGAGGCGAGCTGCTCGGCCTCATCCCTGGAGGCCGTCGCTTCCTCATCGAACTCCTCGAGCGCCTTCCGCGAGGACGCTGGCGGCCCTCGCTCTAGGAGGTCGCGCGGGGGCGGCCGCAGGATCAGCATGTTCCGCATGCACGTGGCGCGGGAGAGCATGACGTAGAGGTGCAGCCACCACTGGTCGTCCGACATGCCCGCGCGGCCAGCGTCCTCGCCCCTCGCGCACTCGATGGCGACGCCCTTGCGCAGCGTCTGGCCCTGCGACAGCGTGGAAGTGAGGTAGGACGCGCGAGTCAGAGTGAACCCCGAGCGGCGCGCGGTGTGCGGCCCCGAGCTCTGCCACGTGAACTCCTGCTCGCTGGGCCTGAACATCAGCAAGCTCCGAGCCCGCGCCTCGGCCTCGCGGCGTTCAACGGCGCCTTCGGCGCCCGGCAGCAGCAGCTCGACGACCTCCTTGTAGATCGGGGACTCCCTGAAGCCGTGGACCTGCGGCCAGATTCCCTTCGGTAGGTAGCGGGGGCGAAAGAGCTGGCCCGGCGCGCACTCCTCCTAGCCCCGCTCGTCCTCGCGGTGGAACTCGAAGGACACGATGGTGGCCCGTTGCTCCTGCACGAGCCACAGCTTCTTCTTTTTCAGCTCCTCCTGCACTGACGTGAATCGCACCTCCATGCCGACGTGGGCCGGCAAGACGCCGTGGATGTCCCCCGTCTTGTGCATGTTCGGGACGTGCAGGGGGCGCCGACCCGCGCGCGGCCGATTCAGCCGACGATGGGTTACCACCGCCAGCCCGGAGACAAGGGGTTACCCCTGCCCCCGATTCGGCCGACGATGGGTTACCACCGCCAGCCCGGAGACAAGGGGTTACCCCTGCCCCCGATTCGGCCGACGATGGGTCACCACCGCCAGCCCGGAGACAAAGGGCTACCCCTGCCCCCGATTCGGCCGAGGATGGGTTACCACCCCCAGCCCGGACGCAAGGGGCTACCCCTGCGCCCGATTCGGCCGCCGATGGGTTACCACCGGCGGCCCGGAGACAAGGGGTTACCCCTGCCCCCGATTCGGTCGGGGTTACCACCCCCGGCCCGGACACAAGGGGCTACCCCTGCGCCCGGCCGCCGTCTCGTCGTCGTCGTCAGCACCTCAGTGACCCTTTTGAGCACGCAGGCCCATGACAACAATAATTTTGCCGACGACCAGCTCAGACGAGGCTTCCCGCACTTTGTTCACAGAACAAACTCCCGCCCGATACTTCTACTTCCCCCGTTTTCTGGCCGCAGGAGCTGAGGAGCCCTTCCTCTGTTTTCACGCCGCAGGAGCTGAGCAACCCAAAAAGTGACGAAAGTCACAAGAATCCGATGACGCGCTCGGATTACCAACATAAAGTGCGGGACCCGTCATCGCGGAGCGTCGCCGCGCAGGGCGCTGGAGGCTTAAGTTTTGGCCCAAAAGGCGGGAGCCATAGGGAGGGGGCTCCCGCCTGAGATTTCCGCACAATTCACTCACTGACGAGGCTCCCGCTTGACACTTCCCCCAAATTCAGGCCTGAGGAGCCCAAAAATGACGACGGTTACACGTTTCGGATGACCCGCTCGGATTACCAACATGAAATGCGGGACCCATAGGAAGGGGGCTCGCGCCTGGGACGTCCTGACAATTCACTCACAGACGAAGCTCCCGCTTGATACTTCCCCCAAGTTCAGGCCTGAGGAGCCCAAACGTGACGACAATTACACGTTTCGGATGACCCGCTCGGATTACCAACATGAAGCGCGGGACCCATAGGGAGGGGGCTCCCGCCTGAGACTTCCTCACAATTCACTCGCAGACGAGGCTCCCGCTTGATACTTTCCCCAAATTCAGGCCTGAGGAGCCCAAAAGTGACGACAGTTACACGTTTCGGATGACCCGCTCGGATTACCAACATGAAGTGCGGGACCCATAGGAAGGGAGCTCCCGCCTGAGACTTCCTCACAACTCACTCACAGACGAGTCTCCCGCTTGATACTTCCCCAAAACTCAGGCCTGAGGAGCGCAAAAGTGACGACGGTTACACGTTTCGGATGACCCGCTCGGATTACCAACATGAAGTGCGGGACCCATAGGAAGGGGGCTCCCGCCTGAGACTTCCTCACAATTCACTCACAGACGAAGCTCCCGCTTGATATTTCCCCCAAAGTCACGCCTGAGGAGCCCAAACATGACGACAGTTACACGTTTCGGATGACCCGCTCGGATTACCAACATGAAGTGCGGGACCCATAGGGAGGGGGCTCCTGCCTGAGACTTCCTCACAATTCACTCACAGATGAAGCTCCCGCTTGAGACTTCATCCATATTCAAGCTAGGGGGTGAGTGATGACAAAGTGATGAGCGAGTGAGTGAGTGAGTGAGTGAGTGAGTGAGTGAGTGAGTGAGTGAGTGATGATGATGATGATGATGATGATGATGATGGTGATGATGATGATGATGATGATGATGATGATGATGAGTGAGTAGGTGATCGAGTGATGATGATGGTGACGATGATGAGGATGATGACGATGATGATGATGAGTGGTGATGCTGATTGATGATGATGGTGATGATGATGAATGTGATAATGATGATGATTGATCGAATGATGATGGTGTTGTTGATGATGAGGATGATAATGGTGTGAGTGTGAATGAGTGCGATGATTATGATGATGGTGACGATGATGAGGATGATGATGAGTAGTGACGACGAGTGGTGATGATGATGAGAATGATGATGGTGAGTGAAGGGGAGAGGGGTGGGAGGTGAGGTGAGGTGAGGTTCCTGCGCGAGGTGTCCAGAGAAAACGAGAACCCCACTTTGGATGTGGGGAAAAACGCTCCCAGAAGGACCCACGACTGCTCAGCAGAGAGGCCCCCAGGACGGCCTCCGAGAACCAAGAGGCCCCTTTAGATGCCACTAGAGGCCCCCACGAGGCCCCAGGAGGCCGCCAAGAAGCCCCCCGGATGCCCCCATAGAGGCTCCCAGGCCCCCAGAAAATCCAAAACGGCCTCAGCAAGCCTTCTCTTTCGTGTCCTTGTCCTCCTCGTCCTCCGTCTCCGTCTCCTTTTCCTCCTCTTCCTCATCCTCCTCCTCCTTTCTGTGTTTCCCCTGAGCTGTCCCCCAAAGGTGTTGCACAGCGGCTGAGGGAACACACGGTCCAACAGCTTGGCCAGACATGGGCACAACTTTCGGCCGCGCGGGCGCGTCCAAAAGGCAAGGGGCGGCGGTGGTTTGCCGTAAGCGACTTCGATACGAGTGGGCGAGAAAGAGAGCGAACTTTGATGAAAACAAGAAGAAAAAACGCGTAGAAATAATCAAGGGACTGAGCAAACAGCACGGACCACTCGTTCCTTCACGCTACAGGCTCCCCACAACGGCGCGCACTCACACGTATCATTACAACCTGGAATCACATCTACGAACACAAGCAGAACTAAGAATGAATCACGCTGACAAGCCCGTCTGGTTCACTTGAAACCCTCACACATGTGCAACAACATGTGTTTGCCGCCCAAGCGAGTCTTGCACAATGAAAGAACGAGTTGGGCAACATGAGCTCGGAGGTCCACAGAACTTGTGCAGCACTACGTACGTACGCCACCAAACAAGATTCGGATCCCTGCGCAAGAGGATTAGATTTCTGTTGCATGTCTCATTCGTAACAACCAGCCCTTTGAAATGACGGCATCAACGACTGGGGAATCGATTCCATAGCTCCAATGCAGACACCGGCTTGAGTGCTCATTGCTCGATGTCCCTTCTTCGGGTTATCCAGCAACGCAGAAAGCTGAAACTTTGAGCCGTCCGAGTGCACGAGCAAACAGCGCCCCTCATCCGATGGCCCTGTTGCACACGCGGCGCTGAACTTTCGGCATCGACCTATGTTTCGCGGCACGCGTGTGACGAGTATGCGAGGATGACGGTCGCGAGGGGGGAAGCAGAGCACACGACCAGGGAGTCCCTGATAACAGTTCCACCCATCGCTGTCGAATAGCCATCTGCTTCCGATGTCATCTGTATATATATAAATAAATATATGTATGTGTGCATCTCTCCATCCTTGATACCTTGACCATGTCGTCGCTTCACACTTGGGCCGTCAATCGCTGCTTGCAGCTTCGCGATGTTTCTTACGGTGGTTTCAAGAGGAGTAGAAGGGGGATCAGAACAGAGAGTAGAGGAAATGACCGGATAGTAGAGAGGCGAACACAGAGAAGAAAGAGAGAGAGAGAGACAGAGACAGAGAGAGAGAGAAAGGGAAAGAGAGAGATCTATATATATATATATATACAGAGTGAGAGAAACAAGGAAGAGACTGGAGACGGAGAGAGAGAGAGAGAGAACAAAACGAACGAGATGGTGAGATAAAAAGCGAAAGGCGAGATAAGAACCACGTGAGATGAACGAAGAGAGGAGCCAGGAAAGAGGAGAGAGGGTCCAAGACGAGAGGAAACGAGAGGACATGAGAGGAGAGGAGAGGAGGGACAGAACTGCGTGGATGGTATGAGAGGAGAGGGAATGAGAGCGACAAGGAACATGCCTTCTCAGCCGTTGCTTTTACCCGATACATTGTGAAGCAACCCCGCCAGAGTTGGAGCTACGGTCGACACAAACGATGCGAACTCTTGCCATTAGAAATCTCGGGTTATCGTCTTCGTCGACCGTTGGAAGGTTTTAAGGCGCGCCCCAGAGCTTCTGTGGGCCCCCCAGGGCCATGGGGGGATACAAAGCTTCGGTTGGGCCCCTGCTGGCAGGCCCGTTTCTCATTGGACGTGTGTGCAGTGGGGGCCCGAACACACGAAACCTTCCACAAGGAACCCAACCCTGAGACCCCAGGACGTCCATCGTTTTTTGGTGTGGGAACGTCACGCTGTCCATGGCAAAACCACCGAAACCCAGGGCACCCTGGAGGCAAGACGGGTGTCTATTGGCATGGGCCTCCACTGTACTGCAACCCTCATCAGCAGCGAAGATTACGAACTACTTTTCTGGTCACTTGTCGTCAGCAGCGAAGATTACGAACTACTACGAATGTTAGCAGTCATCATGCCCTGAATGTCTCGAAGCATTTGAAGTATTTGCAGCGTCTCGATTGATAAATTGTTCAGTGCCAGGCAAACGATTCCATCTATAAATTCCTGTTTGTCTATCTCTCCAGACTTGTCCTTGTCTATGAACTCGAACATGTTGACCAGGTGGTCGGCATCGATGATCGCTTGCACTTCTGCGGGAAATTTCAGCTGGCCCTTCGAATGTAGATTGTGTATCTCATCGTGTGTGACGCTGCCGCTCCCGTCTCTGTCTATCTTGTCGAACAGCTCCTCAGGGACGAGAGAACCGGATACCGACTCTGGCAACAAGTGGCGCTTCGGCAAGAGCGTGGACCACGCACCGCCGGGAGGCATCCACGCCTGAGCCCCAGACGTCCGCCGAAATGATGCTTTCGATCCGCGGCCCTACAGTCGGTGCGCTGGAGAAGGAACCCTTTTCGTTGGGGAGGGGCCCGGTGTTCCTTGACTGTTTCAGAGTTTGCCTCGGGTTTTCCTGAGGTCTTCCATGGGGAATCGAAGTTCAACGCATGGGAAAAAGGGGCCTCGTCCCTTATCTAGGGTTCCTCAGGTCAACGCCCCGACTGTAGGGGTCCCGACCGCTTCCCGAGGGGCAGTTTTGCCTCCCGGATCCATGGTTCCTGGCCCCCGGGCCCCACAAGATACCCAGAAGGCCGACAGCCAGGAAAAGAAACACCAGCTGGACAAATCAGATCGTCGGAAAGGTGAGGCCCCTCAGATCCTGCCAATGAAGTCCCAGGAGGGCGGTGCATGTGAAAGTCCTGAGCCTCGGGAGGCCAGCAGACGTCCGCACCCACAAGCTCCCGATCGCCCTGGGGCCTCGGCTCTGAGGCGGTGGTCGTGGACATAAACCTGGCGGTGGAACCGACAAGATTTGCCGACGCGCTCAGAGGGGAAGCGAGAGGGGGCAGGCCTTCTCAAGGGCGCCGGGGCTTCTCTGAAGGGGCCCTGCAGGACACACAAATAAGTACACACCAATCAAAGGGCTCCCCGTATCTTCCCATATTTTCAGGGTTTCTGTCTCCCCCCCCCCCACCTCCCATATTTTCCCATATTCTCTGGGGAATCGACGATTCATCATTGTGTCTGTATGTTTTTTCCCCTCCTGATTCTCGGAGGTCTTAGGTGGCCTTCCCAGACCCCCGACGTCATGATTTTTTCATGACGCGACCCCCAGAGGTCCCGACCCATTCCCCGGGACCGGTTTTTCGTCCTGAGTCGTTTTTTGACGGTCCCGAGGCCCGGTAAGGGCCCCCGGAGGCCGAAAATGGCGAAAAACCTCCCGTCGTGATTTTTTCACGACGCGAGGAGGTCTGGGTAGGTGGCCTTCTGAGGAAGCCGCAGGCCGAGCGCCTGTTCCGAACCTGCCGAGGAGGCCAACCTCCTCTGCCTTCCGCCCTGGGCCCGCCGCCGGATGATGAGTGGACGCTTTCGTGTATTCGGCGTTTCGACATTGGGCGGATGGGAGGAGGAGGGGGAGGAGGAGGGGGAGGAGGAGGAGGAGGAGGAGGAGGAGGAGGAGGAGGAGGAGGAGGAGGAGGTCCGTAGCCATTTTGGCTCAAGCCATTTTGGCTCAAGGCCATTGCCCGGGGCCTTCGCCTTCCCTGGGGTTGGGGCCCAAGTTGGTTGAGAGACCCGCACGACCCTCGATCAGCAGCCCTGCCCAGGGTGAGGGCCACACTCACGATTTCAGGATTCAGGCGTGTATCTCGTCAGCCAGACACAAGATCAGCCAGCCCTTGTCAGTTCGTGCAATGGCATGGGGGCAGCCTTGGCAGTATGGCAGAGGCAAAGGTCGCGCAGCAGATGCAGCAGGAGATTGTGAGCATGTATCGGACCAACCACGTGGCAATGGCGTCCACACGTGGCGCTGCCAGGACTGTGGGTGCAAGAAGACGCCCTGGGCCCAGTGGTATTGTAAGCATTGCAGCAAGCCATGGAGCAGAGAAGAGGCTGTTGGAGGAGCCAGCCTCGACGTGGCAGACAACGACAGCCCGCCAGGGCTGGCACCGCGGGCGAAGGGATTGCAGCCCCCGCCTGGTATCAAGAGCAAGGAGTTGGAGTTGTCCAGCGAAGAGATCGACCACCTGGTCGCGCTGGCCAGCAAGATCGGAGATCGTACCATGGAGAACAAGTACACGACCCTCCGCGAGTACAAGAGGCGGCTCGCCATGGAGCCCAAGGCAGTGCCGCTACAGCTCCAGGCGCAGCAGGCACACCAGAAGGTTCAGCAGCTGGAGGCGAAGCTCAAGCAGGAGGTCGGCAGGTTCGAGGGCATGCAGGTGGCCCTCGAGGAGCAGACCCAGCGCGTGCAGGCCCTCAGCACCGAGCTGGAAGATGCGGACAGCAAGTACAAGGAGCTGCTGGACAACCTGCACACGGATGTCGTCGGAGCGCCGACTGGACAGCCGCCCCGTGTACCGCTGTCCAAGCTGCTCGAGGGGGACCTCAGCTGCTTTGACCTCGGGGAGTGCGAGACGCTCTTCGGGCTGGTTGACTCGAGGCTGTACGAGGTTACAGAAGATGACCAGAAGCAAGCAGCGGAGAGGCGAGAGAAGATGCAGAAAGGGATTGCGGAGTTGGCGCAAACCTTGTTCGGCTCGGCGAAGCAGTTCGCAGAGAAACTCAACAAGGAGCACGCGGAGCACGTCAAGAGGATGTCCACCAAGAAGCGGAAGACGGCTGAGGAGCCCGACGGCGAGCGGCCAGGCGGCCAGGGCGCAGGAGCCCAGGCCGCAGGCGGCGCCGCGGGCGGCGAGGCGACAGCCGCGCGGACGCAGCCTGGCGCCACGGCGGGCGCTGGCCATGCTGCTGCTGCTGCAGGTGGAGATTCTGACGGCCACAAAGACGGAATGGTCGATCGAGACCGTTCTGGAGCCTTTTTGCCGCCCGAGCCAAGCAACGTGCGACAGGCAGCACGGGCAGCGCTGGGGCAGAGCGGCAAGGGAGCTGCAGCAGGAGGCAAGGGCTTTGCAGGCAGCGCTGGAGGCGCCGCCGCAAGCCCAACGCCCGCAGGGGAGGGACGGTCGGGCGGGTAGCTGGGTGGGGGTGGCGGGCGGGTGGGGCTCGTTTCTGGCTGGCAGCGTTGAGGCCTCGGCCGCGCGGCAGGTGCGGGAAGGCCTTAGTTTTGGCACGCCACCAGGGATCTTCTTTCTCCCTCCGCCGCTGCTCATGCCGCCACCGCCTCTAGGCCGTCCTCCCTTCTACTTTCCCCAGCAGGAGCCAGTCTGTCCTGCTTGGGAGCCAACATTGCCTCAGCGTTTCAATTTAAGCAAGTCTCAGTCTCGGAAGCGTGAGCGCCAGCGAGCCAGTCCAGTTTCCAAGGCTGACCAGGGAGAGAGTTTTTTCTCGGTAGAGTCATGCAACGCGACCTGTTGGAAGTCGGCGAAGCAGTATCTTGAGGGTGAATGTCAGTCGAGCGTAGCAGTACTGCAAGAGATCACTGTTGAACCGAGCGAGCTGCAGGAGCGTGAACAAACACTGAGAGGTATAGGGTGGCATGCCAGCCTATCACCGTCGGTGGTTACTGATGCAGGAGGGCTATCGTCAGGGGTGGCGGTGGCCTGCAGGAAGTACATAGGTCTGGGGATGCCTCCGACAGCAGTTCGAGACCTTCCTGCACCGCATCGGCAGTCATTACGATGGGTCAACACGTTTGTTCCAGGCGGATTTATCCTAGGTTCGGTTTATCTTCCCGACGCAGATCCGCTAGGACCCGAAGGGAGTCGAATTCTCAGTCGTCTAGGAGAACGCCTCCATAGTTGGGGGTTGCCGTTCATCCTAGGGGGGGACTGGAATGTTTCACCTGAGGTGTTCAAGGAGATGGGGTGGGCTGGAAAACTCGGGGGCCAGGTCATCCACCCAACCACCTACACGTGTAAGTCGACAGCCAAGGTTTGGAGGACAATCGACTATTTTGTGATGTCGGCAGGTCTTGCGGCGAATGTTCACTCGTGCCATATCAATAGGAAGGCGACCACCAAGCCGCATTGGCCTGTCGTTGTGCAGTTTACGGGCAAGCCGATGGAGCACCTCGTTCGGGTGCTCAAAAAGCCTGCCGCGTTCCCCAATGAGGTAGTCATTGGCCCGATGCAGGAGCCCCGCGATTACCACCAGCTGCTGGCACAGGCGAGGCAGCGTGGTGACAGAGAGGCTCTGGACAGTTGTTTTGCTGAGTTTATGGGGTCTCTTGAGGCGGAGCTGGGTGAGTATCACGGGGTCTCGGATCAGAAGAAGTACTTTGGACGGTCCAGGGAGCCCGAGTTCAGGATGGTTCCTGCTTTGAAGACCTCAGGAGGCAAGTATCCAGTAGGCTGCCCGCGAAGCAGAGGATGAAGGAGAGTTGGGATTTGGTTCCAGGAGCTCGTGTACCTCAGGACTAGTTCTTCAGAGTGGGGGAAAGCTAGCACCATGGGGATCCTGGGGCAGATACGACGGGGTCCACACCAGCTTCGTGAGCAGCAGGATTGGGAAGGCTGGAGGCCTTCGCGAGAGCAGTTGATGAACGCGGATATCGAGCAGCTTCGACGCTGGAGCGAAGAGGCTGGCAAGGTTTCAACTTCACTGGAGAGATCGTTTGCATCAGAGCGGTCCAAGCAGTGGCGCGAGTGGGTTAAGCAAGCAGTGGCCAACGGAGGGGGCCAAGCCCACAAGTACAGCCAGGTCCCCATAGGTTGGATCCCTGAAGCCCCTGCAGGAGCCAAGAAGTCGGACGCCCCGAGAGCGCCCATGGGTCCGCAGGAGCAGGTAGACGACTTGTACGGCTATTGGCTCGGACATTGGGCCCCTCCTGAGGCTGCTAGGAGTTTTCCTGACCCCTATCAAGTACCTCACGAGCGAGATAAACAAGCAAGCGCAGGAGCAGGGTTGCAGGATGGTGGATCTGGTGGGCCCCCCGAAGACCCCCAGTGAGATCAGAGCTGCAGCGAGGAGGTTTAAGCGCTTCACGGCGTGCGGGATCGACATGCTCAGGCCCAGGGACCTTGTCAAGGCCACAGATGGGATCCTCGAGGTGCTTGGTGAGCTCTGGGTTTGGATGGAGTGTCTTGGGACGTACCCCACCCTGATGCTGACCACGGTCCTCGCGATGCTAGGTAAGCCCGAAGGAGGTTTTCGACCGATAGGCCTGCTCCCAACCCCTGTCCGTGTTTTCTCGAAGTTGGATCGACCTGAGATCCGTGCTTGGGAGGCCTCGGTCAAGAGGCCCTACAGGTACGGGATTTCGGGGAGAAGTTGCGAGAGAGCGGTGTGGGAGCAGAGCCTAGTGGTTGAGCAGCACATCAGTGCAGGAGGCTGCTCGGCATGTGGGCTCGTGGACCTGACCAAGGCATACGAGAAGGTGAACCATTACCTTCTCGCACGAGCCGCAGTCAAGCATAGGTATAATATGATCCGTCTTCGTTTGAAGCTGTCATTGTATCGAGGCAAGCGGATCATCAGCATCTTAGGAGTGTGCGAATTAGTGGCAGAAGTTGACCAGGGTATTCTTGCAGGATGCGGGGAAGCGACCAGTTTGCTCAGCTGCCTGCTGCTGGACCCTTTAGATTCGACATGCGAGCACTTTGGCAGCATTGGCATATACAACGTCGTCGATGATATCACGTTACAGTCGTCAGGTCACCCGTCGCAAGTGGAAGTCAGGCTGCCGAAGGCGATCTTTTACTTGTGCACGCTGCTTGAGCGGCTACTGTTAGTGATCTCACAGTCCAAGGGCCTCGTGCTGAGCACCCACGCGAGCACGCGGCAGGTCATAGTCAGTAAGCTTCGGAAGTGGAACTTCGAGGGGGCGCTTTCTGGAAGGAATCTGGGATGTGACCAAACGATGGCTGCCAAGGGGACCCGTGGTTCCAAGGTGTTACAAGCTCGGCTGAGGCGCCTCAGGGGGCGCAGTGGAAAGATCCGCGGACTCAGGAGCTCTAGGAAAGGTTTGATGCGGGTGGCCCGTTCTGGGGGACTTGCAGCTACCACGTATGGGGCGAGAGTCAACGGAGTGGCTACCACTAAGCTTCAGCAGATAAGGAGTGCGGTAGGAGCTGCTGTGTTTGGGACTCCCAAGGGCAGGAGCAGGACTCTGGAGTTTCTTCTAAGCGAGGAGCCCAAGGGAGACCCAGCATTCGACGCGAACCTGTTACCGCTCCTCACGTGGGGTCAGGCGGTCAGGAACAAGTGGGTGGAGCCCAAGGCGATGCAGCAGAGTTTCCAGTTTTTCATGAACAAGCAGGATTTCGACTGGAGCCAGGTGCGAGGTCCTGCAGGTGCGGTCGTCTTGACCCTTAGGCGGATAGGCTTGGAACCGAGGGCCTGGAACCTGTTCGTCACCAACTCGGGGTTAGAGATTGACTTGGAGTATCTTGGAGGACGTTCTTTGAAGATGGTTCTGGAGAGGTTCGTTCGGGAACGCCTTGTCAGAAGCCTTGGGGATGGTCGCGTGGAAGGTCTCGACGAGGGGCCGCTGCTGGAACCAGTCATCGAAGTGCTCAGGGACCTCAGGGCCAAGGGCAGGTGGCAGGCGGCAGCGGGGCTCGCGGGAGTGGTCGCAGGCGGGTATCAGACCCAGGACAAGCTGTACCAGGACAGGCGTGTTTTGGACAACAAGTGTATGCTGTGCCAAGGAGAAGCAGGTTCCGCATTACACAGGTTTCGATGCCCAGCCCATCAGCCACGAATTCGAGATCTCGGAGTCCAAGAGCTGTTGGACACGCCCGTGCTGCCAGGAACGGAGGCGCTCCACACGAGGGCACTTTTTCCAAGTGTCGAGTGGGCTTGGCCCACACCGCACCAGCGGGCAGGATTTCGGTGGGACGTGGTGCCGCCGAACGGGGTGCTCGACCAAAGAGTGTGTCTAGACGGATCAGGATATGACCAAGATCAGCCTTCTCTAGCCCGCGCAGGGTGGGCGGTGGTCACCGTCACGGCCAGCGGGCACATCATTGGCTCGGCGTACGGGCCCCTGCCGCACATCGTACAGCTCGCGGGGGCAGGGGAGGTGTACGCCTTCCTCATGGCGATTCGGTTGGCGGGCCCGCTAGGGCTCGATGTGATCACGGATTGCAAGATGGTGGAGGATATATGGGGGTTCGGGCCTGAGCAGAACCTGGAGGACGTTGCATATTCAGAGCTTTGGAGGGAAATATTTCGGCTAGCAGGGGATCTCGGACGTGATCTGATTTCGGTTCGTAGGGTTAGGTCTCACCTCTCCCTCGGTCAGGCCCGTAGGCAGGGGGTGTGTGAGTGGGAGTGGAGAGGCAACAAGCGGGCAGACGAGCTCGCCAAGCTTGGCGCCCAGGCCCACCCCACCAACCCCTTGGTAAAGGCTCAGCTTAAACACAGTTTTAATCTAGTCAAACAGTCGGCCTGGTTGATTGCCGAGGTCATGAGTGACCTCTCGGCTAAGAATTTCCCAGATGTGGCGCGAGTGCACAGGCCCCGACGGCCCAAGCCGCAGCAGCTGCAGTTGATTCCAGAGCCCAATGGGCATTTAATTGAGAAGTCTGGCAAGCAATACAGATGTGCGACGTGCGGCGAGAGAGGCCGCTCGAGAACGCACATCTCTTTGACGCCTTGCGGCGGTCCGCCGAGAGTTGCGAGGACGGCGCACCAGAGTCACAGGCTCTGGCTGGGGGGGGGGCGGGTGGCCTGGTGCGTGCGTTGCGGCGCGTTCGGGTCCGCTCGGTCTCGGCTCCTTGGGACTCGTTGTGGAGGGGGTCCTCGCAACCGTGACGCCGCTAATGGTCTCAGAATGCTCAGGAATGGAGTGGACCCCAGCTCGAAGACGAGCTTTGGGAGGTCTGTTCCGCTCAGATGGCAGGCTCAAACAGGTTGGTCGTCCGCACCTGTCTGAGCCCCATCTCCCAACACTTGCCTCTCTGCACTGTGTTTTTGGGCTGCCTTATCGCTCAGCGGTAACGGACAGCTAATGAGCCAATAGGAGCCAATAGGAGGAGGAGGAGGAGGAGGAGGAGGAGGAGGAGGAGGAAGGGGGGGGGGTCTGGCTCCGGACCTTTGCTCATGGCGCGGCGGTTTGGAGCAGTGCGTCCTGTGGGGTATAGACTCCACCTGCTCGAAGCAGGCGCCCCAAAGAGCCGAGGTCCACTCCGTGGGGGGGAAGGGTGCGAGGGCTCGCGCCGTCGGCAACACAATGAATAACAAAAACGAGCACTGAGAACGCCGCGTGCTTCCCCCCCCCACCCACCCCTGTTCGGGGGCCGCGTGCGCGCCCTGCCCCTGCCCCCCACGGTTTCTGAGGGGGAGGGTGGGGCAGGGTTCGCATGTGGCCCCCATACCCAGACCCCCGACGTAATGTGTTTTTGTTTTTTTCCATGGCGTCGACCCCAGAGTTCTCGACCCCTTCCCCAGGACCGGTTTGTCATCCTGAGTCGTTTTTTGACGCTCCCGAAGCCCGGCGAGGGCCCCCAGAGGCAGAAAATGGCGAAAAACCTCCCGTCGTGATTTTTTCATTGCTCGAGAGGGGGTCTGGGTACCTGATCCAGAGGCGCGCCCCAGCAGATCGCCGGGGCCGGCACGAGGCCGGCAGGGCAGGGCCGGGACGGCTGCGCCCCTCCCCCCCCCCGCGCCTGGGAGAGCACAGGGCCTCCGCTGTGCCTCGGAGCGTGTCGTGTCGGCGGTCCTATAATTCTCGAGGGCCTCTCGAGAGCGGGGGCGAGGCGGCGAGACCGAGCCCCCCCCCCTAAAACGACACGGAGATCGGGACAAAATCGGATCGGGACTCCTCGAAATCTCTGAGGGTCGGCGGGTCTGGAGGATGTCTTGGGCGCCGCGGCCGCTCCCCAGAGCGTTCCGGAACGCTCTGTGAGCGCTCCGGAACGCTCTGGAGCGATGTACCCAGACCCCCGACGTCATGATTTTTTCATGACGCGACCCCCAGAAGTCCCGACCCCTTCCCCGGGACCGGTTTTTCGTCCTGAGTCGTTTTTTGACGCTCCCGAGGCCCGGCGAGGGCCCCCGGAGGCCGAAAATGGCGGAAAACCTCCCGTCGTGATGTTTTCATTACCCGAGGGGGTCTGGGTATCTCGATCCCATAGCCCTGTGTTTTACCCCCCCCCCGCGGCGGGGGGGGGAGCGAGGGGCAGAGTTGTCGCGATCGCGCCTATGCCCCCGCAGGAGCGGAGCGCCAGCTGCAGGAGCGGAGGGGGCTCCTCCCCGGCCACGGGCCAGCCCCGGTAGTCGCGAGAGGGTGGGCGCCCCCGACGTCGGGGTCCGAAGGGAGCGGCCCGCGAGCGCCAGGGCTATGCTCCCGTTGGCCTGGCTCCCAGGGCTGCTGCGCCGTGTCTCTTCGCAGCGGAGGGTCCTGAGGAGGAGGAGGAGGAGGAGGAGGAGGAGGAGGAGGAGGAGGAGGAGGAGGAGGATAGGAGGGGAGAGGAAGGACTTTTCAGAGGGAGGAAGGACGAGGACAAGGGCGGGGAGGTCCAGGCCCCTTCCCCAGACCCAGGCCCCCTCGAGTTATGAAACAATCACGACGGGAGGTTTCTTCATCATTTTTGGCCTCTGGGGGCCCTTACCGGCCCTCGGGACCGTCAAAAAACGACTCAGGACGAACAACCGGTTCCGGGGGATGGGTCCAGACCGCTGGGGGTCGACGTCATGAAAAATTCATGACGTCGGGGGTCTGGGGACCCGCCTTCGTCTCGTCCCGAGCCGTTTGTTGACATTCCTGGGAGAACCGAGGGCCCCTGGAGGCCGAGAAACTGCCACAACCACAAAACGCGCCGCCGCAATCTTCGGCCACAGCGAGAGGAGGTGGGGGGGGTCCCAGCGCCTGACTGCAACGCAAGGGGAACGGCCCGAAAAACAGAGCCCCTCCTGAGCCCAAAATGGTCCTTACTCCCACAGCCCATCAGACTTCCCCCCTGAGCTCTCCGCCGCACCTCTGCGCGCAAAGACCTAAACTTCCTCCTCCTCTTCGTCCTCCTCCTCCTGGTTTCCTCCTCCTCCCTCCTCGTTCCTCCGGCTCCACAGTCGAATCCCCCCCTGCGTTTGTATGGATTTTGTTTTTCTTGGTTTGTTTGTCTTTTTCTTTTTCCCAACCATCCTGTGGTGTTGAGTCCTGGTTTTGAAGAGACATCGCCCCGCGTCACTCCTCCCGTTGCCCCCTCCCTCCTCCCTCCTCCCACTCTTTGCCTCTGCCCTCCGCATGTCTCTGCACACCCATTGCAGCGTTTCGTAACCCCATACAGAGCTCCACCGAGAGTCCCAGTGGCAGGGTTCGCATGGCACCACCGCACCCATGTCGGCACACCCCTTACACGTTGCGTGGCCCCACATGGAGCTCCACCGAAGGCCTGAGCGGCAGACTTCGCATGGCGCCACTCACACGCTTCGTGGCCCCATAGGGAGCTCAACCGAAGGCCCACGCGGCAGGGTTCGCATGGCGCCACCGCACAGATTCCGGCGCATTTCTCACACGTGTCGTGGCCCTATAGGAGCTCCACCGAAGGCCCACGTGGCAGGGTTCGCATGGCGCCACCGCACCGATTTCGGCACCTCTCACACGTTGCGTGGCCCCACAGGGAGTTCCACCGAAGGGCACAATGGCAGGGTCCGCATGGCGCCAACGCACCCATTTCGGCACACCCCTCACACGCTTCGTGGCCCCGCAGGCAGCTCCACCGAAGGCGGGGCTCACAGCTGCTGCATCCAGAATTACATATGGTCGTGTCCGTCGCCAGGATTTTGTTTTGCGGGGGGTCGACTTCTGGCCCGAATCGTCTCAATCTTATCATGTCATGTTTTGCTGGGTATGGCCAGGGGTGGGCCTGCGGCTTCGGTGGAGGGGTGTCGCCCTGCCGTTGTTCACACTTTCGATTGTGCGAATGTCGCGGAATCGGATGTCGCACCTCCCCCCCTTTGCTTATGGTGTTGTTTTTCCCAACCATCCTGTGGTGTTGGGTCCTCGTTGTGATTTGTTTCCCTCTGCGAGCCAGTGGGCAGGACCGAGGGCGGCGACAGTTAGCCGACATGCGCACAAGATGTGCGACAAACAAGACTGTGCTTGGCTGACCTACTTGTTAGGTTAAGTACAGTCTTCTCAAACAGATCCAGTATCAACATCCGTCGGCCTAGCGAGCGGGGCCTCGTCCTCATCTGGGGCGATGGCCGTGTGGATCTGGCGTAAGCCTACGACCTCGGCAGCGGGCCGAACCGAGGAGGCAGCCTGGGAGGGGGAGGGGTACGCGGTCTCCACCTCCGCTGCGAAAACATCAAAAAGTTCAACTTCCTCTTGGGGCTCTGGAGCGACAATGCCAGGCTGCTGCAGAGAGGAATGGCCGTCTGGCGCCTGTGGGGTTCTCCCGCGCGCCAGTTCACGCGCCTGGATGCGAGCCAGAACCGCTAGCGTCCCAGGCGTCTGCACCAGTCCCTCCATCCCGAAGGCAGGCCGAGAGACCTCTGGGGGAGGCGGAGTGGTGGCAGCATAACAAAGATAGTTCACTCCTCTTCGAGAAGTGGACGAAACACGATCCTCCTCGTTCCTATAGTGAGGGCGGAGGCCAGACATGATCCTGGGGAGGGTCGTCTTGGCCCCTGGCAACTTCTTGCCGATACATTCTTGACCAAGCTTGAAACATCGGCGAGACGTGTAAGCCCCACACGTGGTACAAAAAAAAATCATGCTTGATACTTTCTGCTCGCGCGTGACGAACGTGTGCGCAAGAGTGTGGCCCTTGGCGAAATCCAGAACACCCTTCCAAGTACGATTCGGCCCTCAGCAGCCCAGTTCAGGCCGGCTGTCAGGGTCACTACTAAACTGAAGGCATCGCAGACACCTGGCACGGCCCCCATCGAGATTTTCCCAGTGGTGCCAGCCTCCAGTCCGTAAAAAATTACATCTCGGTCCAGACTGGGGCCACTCGAATTTCTCGACAGGGGAAACACACAAAACTTTGGCCATGACCTTGGTCGCGAAAACTAATTTATCAAGATCATCGCTAACTTCTTGGTACACCGCAGGAGAGGCCTGAGGGTGGAGGATGAGAGCTTGCTTGGCTAAGGCATCCTCAGCTTGGCTACCTATAGCGATCCTTCTCTCAGGCCCTGGGAGACTATCGATAACCGCTTGAGAGCGGTGGGCTGGCGTGTGAATAACCTTGTACTCACGGCCCCGTTTCTCATGCAGAGAAGCCCCGCGGCGCATTCCCGCGTAGCGGTGTTTTCTCGAGATCTGATGCTGCACAGGCGCGTTACACAACTTAGTGACGGTGGCACAATCAGAATAACGATCCCCGCTGTGTTCAACAAACGAAGGCACCAGCGCCATGGCTTGGTGCTCAGCCGCCTGCGGGGTCTGCTGGAGCACGTCCAGCACCGTTCCTTGAGCATAGGCCACAATCGACCCTGACGGGTCCAAAAAGACCCAAGCGAAGGCGGCCCGAGACAAATCCCTCACAACATGACGAGCACAAGAACCGTCCATACAAATGTCCAGGCCCTGGAGGTCAATGGAGTCCCAAACAATTTCCTGCCCCTCGGGATTGAACAGCTTTGGGTTGGGGTCGGAGCTGGGCGGAGGGAGCTTCGACCCTGGATGGTCCAACTTGAGCTCGTCCCAGCAGCAGTGATCCGCGCTCTCGGTCGCCTCCAGCAACCATTCGGGATGATCAACAGCCGCATCTTGCCGAGCCTGGACAGCATCGTGATGCTGACATTTCCAGACGCGGTGCCTGACTCCGTCAGGCTCGCCACAGAGTGGGCACCTGCCATCGCAGAAGTAGCCTGCAGCTCGGGCTCTGGCTCTGGTCCAGAGTCCTTCACAAAACGCAGCGGTGACAAGGTATTTTCCCTCGGGGCCAACTTTTTGGACTCGGGGCACAACAATCGGGCCAAGGGTTCCGTGCAAACACGCGTCCCATTGAAGGACGGCAGGAGCCTAGCCAAAACTCTCTCATGGTGTCGTTGAGCGCCGAGCTGCAGCAACTGACCTAGAAGGGCAGGCGAGTTATACCCAATATGCACGACTCTATCAGCGTCGTCAAGCCACGTGAGAGCAGAAACACGACGCCACCCAATACGATTCAACGACAAATGCATTCTCTGGATGGGCCCTCGCGAACACTTCCAAGTGACCCCTTCATCCATGGGGACAGCACACCACATCTGACATATGTCCTTAATGTTGTAGTAAGAGGAGGTGGGGGAAGTGAGGGCAGTCCAAACGATGCGCGCCCAGTGCAACGCTGGCGCAACTCCCGCCCTCCAGACAGGGTCCCCCGAGAGCGCTAACTTGGCGTGAAACGACACCCCGCGGTGACAAGGAGGCTTGTAGGTCAACATGACTCTTTGAGCTTCCTGAAGCTCAGTGTCGTTTAACCCTCCGACGGCAGCACCAAACGTAGCAGCAGGGGAAACACCCGCAACATAAATATTGCCAATCCGCCCCTTCTGGCGAGGCAAACGATCACGGTACCTTTTCAAAATCTTGTGCCGGGCGTGCATCTGCCTGAGACGCTGCCGACGTTTCCACCCCGCGTTTTTGGCCCCCCGTCGCTGTCCTGCCGCCAGGTCCGTGCCCAGCACCACCGCACTATTGGTGACAGTGCCCGCCATGCCGCCGAGCAGCCTGTCGAGCTTACGTGCAAGGGGCAACGAGCTAGCGAACGTGGTAAGCTTGTCCGCCTGCAACTGCACCTTCAAATAATCGCGAAAGATAATGTACATGGCCGCTGCAGCCCTGCACATTCGGTCGAGAACCTCGGTCTCGGATTCACCTTCCGTAGTAAGGGAGTCGTCGTCAACATAGCTGCTCAGGGGGACCAGCGGGTGCTCCAAAGTGAACTGGTCGAAAGCCTCTATGCTATAAATCTTGACAAACAAATCATTAAACATGTCACCCGCTGGCAATCCCGACTGGGCAAAGACGGGGGAGTCGGCGCACTGCGCACCCAGTCTCAAAAGCCTGGGTCCCCGCCAGAAAATGTACGTCGTTTTGACAATCACAAGGTTAAAACCGTGGGCCAAAGCGCGGGTCTTCAACACATCCAAATCGAAACTCTCGTAGTATTTGGTCCCATCCCAAATCACCCCACCGCATGCTTGCCAGAATGCGCCGCCACCTCGGCCCTGGTAGCCTGATGCCACACGGCATCTTCAGAACTGCGACCTGGACCGAACGCCCAGAAACGTCTGGGGAAATTATCATTAAAGCTGAGAAGCTCGGGTCTTCTCAGTCGCTCCCAAACGAGCACGGGCCCAGCACACAACAAGATGGGTCGAAGCCCCCCTTTCGGTTTTTCGAGGAGGGGGAAGAGCATCCAAAACAGCTGCTTGGGAAAGAGCCTTAAACTTTCCACAGCTTGA